ACCTCGCCGCATGCCCCAAACCGCGTGAGCACTTGGTCTTCGAACGCCTCTGCGATTCGAGCCGAGTTCTTGCTTGGCAACGCTCTCACTTCCACCCACTTACTCCCATGCTCAATCATGATGAGAATGAATCGCTTTCCTCTCCTGCTCAGCGGCATCTCGCCTGCTAGATCCAGTGACCATCTGAACCCAATCCCTCTGATGGGGAGCGAATGCAGCTCCTCTCTCCCCCTCTCCAGCGCGGCTTTGTTCCGACTGCACAGCTCACAGGAGTCCACCCATGCCTTGATATCTCCTCGCATCCCTGCCCACCACCACCCGGTCTCTACCAGCTGGCTCGTCCGCAGGCTGCCGTAGTGCCCCAGCTGTCTGTGCACCCTCGCTATGATCTCCTCTCGTTCCTGCTTCCTCGGTACCAGCTTCCACCCCTCTCTGGTGTTTTTCTGCAGCTGATCCTGATACCACCGGTAATGTATACCCCTGGCGCGGGCTCTCTCGCTGGCCGGTTCAGACTCCGACGTTTTACCCTGCACCCAGCGCAGAGTCTCTTCGTCTGCCCAGATGTCGTCCGCTCCCTTCTGCCCCCCCTTCTTAGCTCCTTCCCCGTCGATGTCCCGAGCTAGAGCTACCAGGCAGGCTTCAGGGCTCGCGGGAGGCGGGTTACGGGAGAGCCCGTCCATGTGTTGCAGCGTCTTCCCTGCTCGATGCCGTATCGTGAACTCGTATTCCTGTAGCCGCATGGCCCATCGTGCGTTCCGGCCTGTCAGAGCCTGGTTGGTCATCAGCCATGTCAGCGGTTGGTGGTCTGTCACCAGCTCGAATGGTCTCCCTTGCAAGTACACACGGAAGTGTGTGATGGCCCACACCGCGGCTAGTCCCTCTCCCTCGTACGAGCTGTAGTTAGCTTCGGCCGGGTTACAGCTCCGGCTCGCGAACGCCACAACCATCTCTTGCCCGTCTCGCTCTTGGCACAAGATGCCTCCCATGCCGGCACTGCTCCAGTCAGTATACAGCACGAACGGGTCCTCCTTGCTGGGCAAGGTGAGGACCGTCCCCGTCTTTACGGCTCTGAGGAGGGCCTTGAGCGCCCCCTGCTCCTCCTCTCCCCATTGCCACGCCTGGTCCTCCCGCAGCAGTCGATTCAGGACGGCGGCGATGCGGCTGAAGTTAGGCACGAACTTCCTATAATAGTTCAGGAAGCCTAACACTGCCCTCAGGGTACTGCGGTCTTTCGGTGCGGGGACCCGGTCCAGCACTTCCACTTTAGCTTGCTGAATGCTCAGCTGCCCCCCTTGCACTTCGAAGCCGAGATACTTCACTGTGGGGTTCCCAAAGCTGCACTTCTTTGGGTGACAGGTCAGTCCAGCCGCATGGATGGCGTCCAGGGTGTCTCGCACGTCCTTCACGTGCTGCTCAGCCGTGGCGCTGAACACTATGACGTCGTCAATGTAGCACGCCGCGGCTGGGACCTTCCGGAGCACCGAGTCCATCACTCGCTGGAACAATGCCGGCGCGTTTTTCATGCCAAAAGGCATAAACTTCCATTCGTAGAGCCCGTCCGGTTCGTGGAAGGCCGTCTTCTTCATGTCTTCTTCCTTGATCGGGATTTGGTTAAACCCCTGCCTGAGGTCCAGCGTACTGAACACTACGGCCCGGTACAGTTGGTCAAAGATCTCTTTCGCGGACTGCATGGGATACCGGTCGGCTATCGTCACTTTGTTTAACCCTCGGTAGTCTCCGCACATCCGTCGCGCGGACACCTTCCCTGTCAGGTCCTTCCGAGCTGCCACTACCGTCGCTGCCGCGTAATCACTGTCCGATGCTTGGATCAGTCCTGCTGCTAGCAACTCCGCGCACTTCTCCCGGCAAATGTCCAGGTCCCCCGGGCTCATCCTCCTTTTCCGCTGGTATATCGGTACCTCCGTAGTCAACTTCACTTGCATTTGGTGCGAGTTGCAGCGCCCCAGCTCGGCCAGCGTGTAGGCGAACGTCTGGCGGTGTCCCTTCAGCACCTCTTGCAGCGCGGCTGCCTCTACTGCTCCCATTCCCGAGCCTACGGGCCAGACCTCCTCTGGTCCGCGCTCCACGCTTGGCTTCTCCTCCTGAGCCCCGATCTCCCCATCAGGGGGCAATACCTTCGAATCCACTGTCTCGCTGTCTATTTCCATTGCCATGTGCGCCCATCCTTCCAGAATACGCATCTCTTGTTGCTCTTCAAGGGCTCGCAGCTGCCTCCTCCGGTGCGACACTTCCTCCTCTTCCTGGTATATCTCACTGATCTCAATTCCCCGCTGGAGCTCCTTCCGCTTCAGCTGCATGCGAATCGTCTCTACCAGCCAAGTCATGACGTTCAGGTCCATCGCCCGTCCCAAGGCCGCTCGCCTCTGCGCCTCCGTGACTCTTGGGTGCGCCGTAGCTCCTAGCATGTGCCCCATGGCTAGCTCCCTCTCTTCTGCTGTCGGCTGCTCCCATTCCTAATTAATGACGTCGTATATCATCCTCGGCCCAGGCAGGTCCCCTTCCATCACGAACCCGTATGCATCCACGTACGAGACGAGGGTCGGCAGCGCCTGCCTTGGTTTTCCAGGCACGTTGCACTGGTACTGGGACGGATGGTCTGGCACCGTGACTGGGGCTGGCAAGCGGTTGGGGCCCAGGATGTCACTGACCAGTCTCGGTTCTGGCCTCTGCATCTGGGCCAAGGAGTGCCTTAAACTGGCGTCGGAGATCCCATTCTGCCAGTACCTGCGTGGCCGATGTGCCCGTGAGCCCAGCTGTGCCGCGTCTACTGCCTGTCCCCTTCCCACCGCTTCTTCCACCTCCGCGAACGCTCTCCGCACTGGTTCCCGTCGCTCATCCGCGAAGTCTACGTTCTCCTGGATGTACAGCACCTCCCCCTGCCTTGCCTGTACCAACTCTAGGACCCTCCTCAAGTCTCTGAAGGAAGCCCCGCGGATGTCTTGCATCCCCATGCCTTCTCCTGCGCGGGAATATCCTTGGCATTCCCATCCGGCCACGATAAGGTCTACTTGCCCCCACTGCTCTAAGGTAGCCTCGGTGATCTCCCGCACCTCATCCACCCCTTCTTCGGCCTCCTCCGGTAGTGCCGACTCCGCCATCTGATCTGGGTATTCCGCTAGCAGGAGTCGTGCATGATGCTGGGCCATGCGTCGCGCCACGGGGTCCCGCTCGACGTGGATCCACTTCCTCACCCTGCAGCCAGCTCGCAGCGCCGCGGCCAGTCCCATGCCGATGCCTCCGTATAACTCCACGATGCAGATAGCTCCGTCCAGGGTCCACAACCGCGACACCCTTTCCTTCAGGGACGCCGGCTCTCTCCCTTGGTGCCTCCTCTCTACCCGCCGTTCGTACTCCTCCGCGTACCGCTCCCAACTCCAGTCGTCTAGGACCGGCCCCAAGTCCGCGGCTCGTGCCCCGTACGCTTCTCTCGGCTCTTGTTTGACGAACTTCGCTGGCAGCGTCCCCACAGAGCTCTCGGGGTCCCAGTAATGGACTCGGTATAGTACTTTCTCTTGCCAAGTGCAGATGGTGGCCCCCACCCGATACAATAGGTCCATGCCGAGGAGCGCGTCATAGTCTTCGGATTCCGAGACGCCGCAGGTCACGCGGATGCAGCATTCCTTGTCCGTCCCTGGAAGCAACACGATCTCGATGGGCCGCACTGTCCGCGGCATCCACTTCGGCTCTCCCCCTTCCACAGTCATGAGAAGAATGCCCCGCTGCACGAGCCTCCCGGGTAAGTCTAGCTTCAGTTGTTTTGCCAACCCTTTGCCGATCAACACATAGTGAGCACCTGTGTCTACGATCGCCTGCCCCACTGGAAGCCCTCCCATCGTTAGGCTCCCTTTTTCTGCTACCAGGACCAAGGCCTGGCACACCTGCCGTTCGTTGGGGTGGCGCCTCAGCTCGGAAGTACTACTCCCTTCCTGCCGATTCCCTCGAGGCTCCCGCACCCGGCTCGTGCGGCTTTCGGAAGACTGACTCCCTCTCATTCTGAGCTCCAAATCGTCCCTGTCTCGCGGAAACGCCATAAATCCGCCCGTCCACAGATACTCCCCTTCACTCTCCTCTTCCCCTTCGACCTCTTCATACGCTAGCATGGCCCGAGCCTTCAGCTCCGGCTGCGGCTTCTGCCCTAGTCTTAGCTGCAGCCGTTTGATCTCCGCCTGTAGCTCTTCCTTGCTGGCCGTATCTTCGAGGCGACGCCGGCTATAACACGCGTCTTCTTTGTGTCCCCTCTTCCCGCAATTCTCGCAGGCGGGTAACCTAGGGCACTCGCGCTTCAGGTGACCGGGTTCCCCGCATTCGTGACAGCGGCGAGCGTCGCTCCGTGACGCGCCTCCCGTTGGCGTCTCTGCTATTGCTGCCGCTGCCCATGCCGACTTTGGTTTAGGCCGTGCGTCGCTGTCTTCCAGATCTAGCATCCGTTGTGCGTGCTCCGTGCGCTTCGCTAATCCGTAAACCTCTTTCAGGGTGATATCTGCCCCCACTCCATAGACGGTGTTCCGCACCACGCTCCGGAGTTCCTCGTCCAAACCCCGTACGAACTTCCGGACCAGCAACCGTTCGTCTCGACTTTCCAAATCTTCCGCCAGTTCCCTTAGCCGGCAGTAGTATGCGAGCAGAGATTCATCTTTTCCCCGCCGAAACTCCCGAAACTCCTCCACCCGCGCCTTAGTTTGCCCCAGGAACTCCTTCTTCAAAAGTTCGACGAACCGCGCCGTTGGATTCTCGATTTCTCCACCGGCCAGCTCGTCGAGTACGTCTTGACGCGTCATACGGTAAAATGTCTCGGCCTCTCCGGCCAGCGTAACCACCATCCGCCTGAAGAACTCCGCCGGATCCAGTCCATCCCGTTCCCAGCAATACTGCACGGTCTCTAACTGCATCAGATAGTTCTTTAACGTGGGTCCCACTCCCAGCGTCCCCGTAAATCGGTCCGCGACCTCCAGTTTCGGCGGGGCTCCCAACGTCTTCCGATGGTCGGGGCTCCGGTCGGGCGCACTGATTGGCTCAAGTCGTTCCTTCGCTTGGCTCGGAATCAGCTCACGATGTCTCGGAGTGCGCAGTTCTCCTTCCTGCTGGCGTCGCAGCCAAGCTGCCGGTACTGGAGTACGGTCCGTTTCCATCCCTGGCATTCTCCCTGGTGACGTGGTAGCGGGACGATTTTCCCATCGAGCGCGTGCCTCTCTTGCCCAGTGTACATCGTATGGCGTCCCGCCGGGATCTGACGCTACGACTCTGGACGACTCCATACCACCGCTCTGCTCTCTGTCTCTTTGGTGAGGGGTCTGATATACTCCAGGAGTCGAGGCGGCTGATCGCTTGTTATCCGCCACCGGCGCCCGGTCCGCGGAGGTAGCTGCCGCCGCACGCCAACTTGGTTCTGCTGCTATGTCTTCTCTTCTATAGCTATGTCCTGACCTCAGTCGAAACCTGTCGTTCATCCTAAGTAGGCCTACCGTGGCCGGTAGGCTTTCTTGCTTGTATGTTGAAAGTTCCTAGCACGTCTCGTCACAATAGCTGCACTCAGCCCGGCTGACTGAAGAGGACGGGGATTAGAAACCCTTGAATGACTTGCTATGATTGGCTCCTCCACTTGTTGCTTCTCGAGCGGGGTAGGGATAAACTCTTTTGCTTATAGAGGAAACATACAAGCAAGCAACTGATACATCTTCTGGTGCTTGCTTAAGTATGAGCCATGGAGTTACCGTTGCGAGGCAACGGTAGTTATTCGCGAGGCCGCTGAGTTTCCCGCTTGGTACACTGCGGCCTCGGTTCTTCCTTTTTATTCTCGTTACTTCCTTCCTTCCTACTCTACCCTGTTATGCATTCATATTGCTAGTCCTACGTCCTGATCCAATTTAATGCATGACAGGTTGTCTTGTCAACTGCTTCGCTGGAGCTTGGTTGACTCGGTATTGCTTCACTATGAGTCTCCTTTGTTCTTGTTATAGCGCTCGACACATCAGAAGCGCAAACTATATGGTTCCAACAACGTACAGCAAGCTGGGGTCCGACCTGACTGCGGAGCGGTCAGCAGAGGCATAAGGTCGACCGCTGTCTGCACTACCTCGCCGACACGCATGACGCAACCCTGAAGGTCGGCGGCGGACCTTACTCTCTGTGCTTTGTCGGCTACGTAGATGACGACGATGCCAAAAACAAGTAGAACCGCAGTAGCATGAGTTTCTACGTCTTCGTCTTTGGTCAGGCTGCTGTTATTACGATCAAAAGTTGATCGTTCTTAGGATCACCTCAAGAAGGTGCGCAGAAATAAAGTTATGCACCGGAAGATATTGACCTCAGAGTGGATTCAAAATGGCAGAGATGAATAAAACATGCAAATATAACGATTTATATAAGAGTACAGAAGAATACGAAAAGTAATAGACTAGCCACATACTCTAAGGGGTACATTCCCTTATTCAAATTTAAACCCAACCATATGGCGCGGGCAGTTACGATACTATTCCCGCCAAATTCATCGCCCTTGCAACTGCCCGATGTTTTCTTGTCCAACGGTCCAGATGCTTCGTAGTCGTACTCGTCGCTTCGACCCTTCGCTTTCGTACTCCCTTCTGTGTTCCTCATTCTTGCTATTGGCAGAAATGCATAGTCACACTTCTCAATTTACTATTCGTAACAGCTGCGTCCTAAACGAATCAGCCCATCAAGTGCATAACGTTTTCGACGACCGAGTCGGAGTACGTTGCGGCCACCAAAGCTGGCAAGGAGGCTCGCTGCCATCGCTTCCTCCTCGCTGAGTTCGAGTTGCTTGACGTAGCAACGCTGACCATCCTTCGGTGGACAACCAGTTGGCTATTGCGGTCGCTGAAGGCTAGAGCAACTTCAAGCACATGGAGCGACGTGTCAACGGGAGTTGTGTGTTGTGTGAAAATTTAGAAGAAAGAAGAGGGTTGCACTAGCAAGAATGAGGATACAAATAGCAAACCCTAGAAGGGTTGTACTCGCTATAGAGCACCCCACTACAGGCTAGAGCATAATATTCTGACACACCCCCATAGCCAAAGTGGGGTGTAATCAGCAGAGCAAGCAAAGCAGTACAAGCTCAGGGTGGATCACAATGTCACCACACATTCTGAGCACAAGTTCAAGAAGCAATAGTTTAAAGTTCACAATTATGAGCAAAGCTAGAGGCTATCGCAAAGGGCTAGTGTGGAGGAGGAGGGACTATGAGAGGAGACGAGGTAGTGGGCGGCAGCTGAAGCTGCTGGCACACGGCGCAACTGGAGCAACTGGCACACGGGCAACAGGAGCAACTCGCACACTGGCAACTGGAGCAACTGGCACACGGGCTACTAGAGTAACTGGCTCCGAGGCTAAAAGTAGCGGCAGACGAGCAATGGACTCACGGGCGACTGGAGCAACGGGCTCACGGGCGACTGGCGCAACGGGCTCACGCACGACTGGCGCAACGGTCTCACGGGCGACTGGAGCTGCTGGCTTCTCGGCGGCCACCCCCTTCAACCTCCCCAAACTATCCCAACCCCATTTCACACACCCCCTACTGCACCCCTAGGGTCACTCACACCCCACCCCCTAGCAACACTCCGTCGACTCCCACACACCCACCCCCCTCAGCGGCAGCTGCAGCAGTGGGAGACAGAGGAGGAGGAGGAGCAGGGGAGACCACACACCCGCCACCCCCCACTCGCCACCCCCAAACCCGAACACAGGGCAGGGCGGGATGGCAAGTAGAGAGGTTACGGGGGGGGGGGCGGGGCCGACTTGCGGCCTCCGTGGGCGCCAAAGCAGGCGGCAAAAGGGGCGATGCTCGCCCCCCTCCCCCAGGTGGCCTCGACAGGCGACGGGAAAAGTGGGGGGGGGGGGGGTGCACGTGTCCCCGGTGCGCCGCGGCTGGCGACGAGGCATGGCCGGGGCGGGGCCGAGGCCGCAAGTGGCGGCGACGGGGACGCCGGCGGCGAGGACGGGGCCGCTGGCGGCGGTTCGGGGCCGGTAGGAGCAGCGACGGGGGGCGACGCGCGGATCCCCGTCGCCCGTCGCAGCGCCTCCCGGGGGCGAGGCGCCGAGTGACGGGGCAGAAACCCGTCGCGCGCCTCGGGGCGCACGGCGGGCAGAAAACCGCCGCGCGCCTCGGGGCGCACGGCGGGCAGAAAACCGCCGCGCGCCTCGGGGCGCACGGCGGGAAGAAAAACTGCCGCACGCCACGGGGCGTGCGGCACAGAGAGTAGCAGTAGCAGTTGCAGCGGAAGCAACGAGGTGGTGAGCCCACCCACAGGATCGATCCAAGGGGATCGACCTGCTCTGATACCATGTGAAAATTTAGAAGAAAGAAGAGGGTTACATTAGCAAGAATGAGGATACAAATAGCAAACACTAGAGGGGTTGTATTCGCTATAGAGCACCCCACTACAGGCTAGAGCATAATATTCTGACATGTTGGCCCCGTCCTCGCTTGGGCGGAGCCGACATCGTGGTCGGGTGTTAGGGGAGCAGCCGACCTGCAGCAGTGGGCGAGCTGGTTGACAAGGAGGTCGACCTGCACGGGGACCACTGCACGGGCGCCGACTTCAGGGTGGCGCCAACTTCGGGGAGGTCGACTTAGGAGTCGACCTGCGGAGGACGTCAACTTGGTGACGTCAACTTGGGGAAGCCGACTTCGGTGGTCGGCTGATGGACTGCTGGTCGACCTGCAGGTGGTCAACTGGACCTGGTGATCGACGAAGGAGGGGCCGACGTCTACCTCGACTCAGGACGCCGAGCAGTTGGGCGTCGAGTAGCGGGGCGTCAACTTTGTGACGCCGACTTCGGGTGGCCAACGTGGGTGGTCGGCCGACAACTGCGCTGGCCGACTTAGTGCTGGTTGACGTGGAGCTGGTCGACCAGAAGGGACGTCGACCTGGAGGAGGTCGACCGAGGGGCGTGGTCGTCCTGGTGAGGTCAATATGTTGGTGGTCGTCGACTTGGGAGGTCGACGGGCACGTACGGGAGCTGCTGGTCGACGTGGTTGCCTGGTCGACCAGGTTACCTGGGTGACGAAGTGCTGTGGAGGAGTGCGACGGTCGCCCAGGCGAAGTTGGCGAGACCGACCTCGGTGGTGGTATCCCGAGGTCGTCGTGGCACATCAGAGGCAGTCGTCAGCTCGAGGTTGACGTGGTGTGTGCGCTGTGCAGGTGACGAGACTCTGCACGCCAATCATCTGCGCGGACCTGCGAAGCGGGTGCACTGCTGTCCTGCGTGAGCAATGCTGGTACGCCATCAACCTGCGACGTTGGCACGCCGTCGACCTTGCCTTGCTGGAGTGCGGTCGACCAAGTCGTGCTGGAACGCGGTCGACCAAGCTGCGCTGGCAGTTGGCCGACCTGAATGCTAGCTCTGATGTAGTCTTGCATTGCCAACTTCATTGTATTATTGATGTCATGTTTTCCTAGTGAAACTCTTACCAATTCTCCCCGTGAACTAGCAAGAAGCGTAAACACAAGGAAATGACTAAGTGAACGAACGCAGAGATCACATGAGCACACGTGCTTAGCCCGTAGTCTAGCTCCCGTTGCAGCAGTTATCTCCGCATGGTGCGGTGAGCGTGGACGGCACACGACTTACCTTTCAGTCAGGTCGACGTAGACACCACTTACCTATTTCGTAGTTACAGGCCGGCAACTATGCGGTAGTCACTATGGTAGGAGCCGTAGGTGACGCGGGGGTGGTGGACACCCTGGAAGCACGGTTGGAGAACGCGAGGAGGAAGCACGAGGCCAACGAGTATAGCGACTTGCCCTGGGCGGTCGTCGAGGCTAGACTCCGCTCCATGTGGGCGACGGAGCACCCGTCTCGACCTGCCTCTCCTCGTCCGGTGAACAACGAAGGTGGCGTCGACGTGGGCGTCAACGCCGGTGGTGGTCAAGTCGGCAGCAGTGCTGGAGGCACGTTGAGGCAGAGAGGTGTGATCCACGCCGGTGAAGTCGGCGGCGTTCAGGCACGAGGGATGCAGTCGTCGGCGGCTGCAGGCTCTTCGCAGGGTGACGTCGGAGGTCGACGGAGTGGGCTGTCGCCGATGTTGGCGTCCCAGGTGACGGCAGGTGGGATTGCGCGGAGCTACGGCTACTTCAAGTTCACGCTGGTCAGGATCTCAGTCACCCCCCCACTGGTCCGTCGACCCGACATTCTCACCTGGAAGGAAGCTATCGAGCCCCAGCTGGAGATGGCCGGGCTGATCGGCTTCGCCCGAGGGACTGTGGCGACGCCTGGGGAGCACCACCCCGACTTGCGGGCGGAGTTTCGCGCCGTGCAGCTGTTGACCTTCACGGTCATCTCGCGGTGCTGCTCGCCGGGCGTGCAGATCGCCTTAAAGTGGTGCCGGGAGTACATCGACGCCGGCCACCGGGCGTGGCACTTCATTGAGTCGACGTACCAGGTCACCGACGACC